CACAGAAGCAGTGGCTCTCTTTCCCGCTTTTGTTTCGAATGCTTCAAAATGGAATCACCAAAATAAGAAGAGTAACGGCCATACATTTTTTTGGTACACAATTCTTTGAGGTGGGATTTCGCAAGTGACTCCAGGCGAGCTCTCAAAAGCCAGTTCAGCCGGCCCGGTCCATTGTTGGCCCATGATATGACATCAGCAGACAAAGAACTTCCTGGAAACATTATTTTTCTCTATTAGATTATATTGAAGGCTCCGAAAAGTCTGATTCAGACTGCCAAACCGAGCGAAACACATATTTGCTTCTACCCAATTCAATTTACACATTAAACAGAAAATTAAAATTAAAAAAATATATATAGAAAATTAAAAAAAAATTTAAAAATTCCCAGTTTGTACCTTTTTTCTTTAAAATTCCTTAAAAATTATCCTTTTGGAAGAGAAACTTTTTTTCATTCCCCTCGACGAACCAAATGGCCCACTGTGAGGGGGTTGGGGGCTGTGGAAATGTGGGGTCTGGGGGGATCCTTAAGTGGCGTCTACTACCCCTACTTATGCCCTACACACACATGATTCATGGATTCATCTACGACTGTGGCGATAATTAATCATATTGGCTTGTATTTGAAGCCTACTCTAACGCCGACTGTGATTCTCTCTGATTCTCTGAGGCCCTAACTCTAGATTGTATTGTAAGTACGATATATACGATAGTACGATAGTATTGCTCTCTGGATACACTGGATGCACCACCGTGGATGGAGGTCCTGCGGTGCAGCGGACAACAAACGAAAAAACCCAAAACGATTCCTTACGTCTAGAGAAGGGGGGAGGGAGGAGGGTCTTTAGAGGGGTCTTGGGGGGGGGTGTTCAATCACTAGCTAAAGAAAAGCTCAACTACTTAGCCTACAAGAGAGCAGGGGAACAGTCTAAGAGGGGGCTGGGACTCAGGGGTTAATCACATTATCGAGTGGGGGGGATAGAGTGGTGGGGGGAGGGAGGGTCTCTCCTCCTTCTGGAAGATGATGACTGGCTGATTGGAGGAGCTACTCGTATCGTGACTTATCTAGGCGTTATCCCTAATGCGTTTGATTGCTTTAAGCTGGATGATTGGTCAGTTGCACACGCGCTCTGGCTCTGGCTCTGGCTCTTGCCTCTCGCCTCTCTGTGGGGGGGATTCTCTTGGGGGGAGGGGGGATTCTTCGCGTGTCTGTCGAAAATAATTGCTTGGTGTTTGCTTCTAATTGACGAGGACTGGGCGGAGGACGGAGGACGGGGTAGGGTCTAACCTAGGCCATTCAATGGCACCGCCTCGACCTGGACCTGCACCGGCCCGACCTCTGTTTCTGGTGTCTCTGGGGTCTCGTCCTCTTGGGAGTCGCCCAGCGAGAGGCGCGACTTGGCGGCCGTCTCCATGGACTTCCAGGTGCCCCCGCTGGTGGCCTGCTGCAGGGAAATGCGCGGAATGGACTTGCAGCTGCCTAAAATGGAGCTCATATCCGGCGCCCTGGTGTCCTCCGACTCGGCCAGGGCGCTCAGGCTGCAGGCGGCCGGCGGCAGGATGCGGTGGGGGAAGCGCGGCGAGCCCCTGACCCGCTCCCGCAGACTGGGCGTCGGCTGCACCACCGACGGCCGGCGGCTGCTGGGCAGCTGAAAGTTCACCCTGGTCTCCAGCAGCTTCACATACCGGCCGTCGGGGGGGGCCACGGGTCCGCCCAGATGCTCCCCGGAGATGGTGGAGATGGAGGGCAGCAGGAAGCCGGGATCCTTGGCCAGGTGGTCGAGGTGGGTGCCGCTTTGAGTGAGCGATCCGCGGTGGATGGCCTTCAGATGCGTCCGCCCGTTCGAGTTGGACTCGACGGGGAGGCCGCCCGGCTCTGGGCCCGGATTCTGAATCGGGGAGTTGTAGATGGCATTGCAGGAGGCCGTCTGCGAGGAGGGAATCAGGCGGGTGAAGAGGCCCATGTGCGACTTGAAGGCCGCCTTGAGGCCCTTCTGGCCGTCCGCCAGGCTGGCAGTGGAGCCCTTGTTGCTGGAGGCGGTGCGCGAGAAGATGCCCCGGAGGCGGTCGATGAGCCCCGTCCGGCTGGTGGCCTCGGTGGCCTGCTGGTGGGCGAGCCGCAGGTTGATCAGGTCCTGGGCGGGCAGGCAGGCCTCCTCCAGCTGCGGCTGCGAGGCAAAGGTCACCGATCGCCGCATCGGGATCTGCATGTACTCCGCCGAGGGCCAGCTAGCGCGCGGAATCACCGGCGGGAGCACGGAGAGCAGCAGGTTGGGCAGGATCCCGGAGATGCTCGGGGTGCGCGACTTGCTCGGAGCCGGCGTCTGCGACAGTCCGCTCGTGACGGTCAGCTCTGGCTTCAGGTGGGCGTGGGCGTGGCCTCCCTGCAGCAGGGAGGTGGACGAGGACGTGGTCGTCGAGGCGGTGCCCAGACCGGACTCGAGCAGCCGCTCCAACTTGCGGATCTCCGCGTCCAGCGCCTGGATCTCCTTCTTGTAGACCCTGTTCTGGACCTCCACGCGATACTGCAGCTCCCGGCGATCGTCGACCACAAAGCGTCGCGTGTTGCACTCCATCTTGAGGCCCATGCTGTGGATCACGGGATCGATGATGTCATCTGCGAAGAGAGGATTACTCTGGGTATTAGTGGATCCAGTCGTGGCACTCACTTCGCGCCCAAATGTCGTGCAGCTTCGGGATGAACAGCAGGCACAGCGTCGCCGTGGTGGACGTCAAAATGAGGGCCGTGATGGTGATGAAGGCCAGCGTCACGCGCTCCGAGATGAGGTTGGCCAGGACGACGACAATGGCACTCGTGATGACCACGCTGTACACGGAGACGCCGATGTACTGCGAGTCGTTGAGGGCGGGTATCTTCACGTGGCGCGTCTCCCAGGCCATGTACACGCCCACCACCAGCAGGAGGCCCTTGTAGGCGTACAGGACACTCAGCCAGGTTTGGGTGTGCTGCGAGCGGCAGACCTCCACCTAAAGGGGGCATCCGAAAGGGGCGGCAAGTGCCAGAGGAGTCAATTTACAAACATTGGATGTCAATCCAATCCATAAAGGAGGGGCATGCGGGATGTGGGGGATGTGGAGGGTGGGGACACCTACCTGGGGCTGGTAGACAACACTCCGATCAATCGCGCTGATTTCGAGTGTCAGATTATGCAAATGCCGCTCCATGGGGTCCGTGACGACCCAGAGGGTGACGAGGAGGGCGTCCACCAGCAACAGGCCGCACACGAGCAGAATCAACTGGATGTCCTGCAGCATTTTGTCCTTGAACACGCTCCCGGTTCGTGTGAAGATGCGGTGCACCCGGTAGGTCTTGGCGAACATCGAGCCAAAGGCCAGCGAGAATCCGGCCGACAGCAGATAGACGCGTGCCTGCCACGGGTTACACGGAAGCCCATAAGGATGTGTGTAAGTGTCATGTTTTGGGGGGCCAGCAGCAAAGAAAAACAGAACCGAACCGACACAAGCAAAAGGGAAACAACTCATCAATGGGGCACAACTCAGTCCTGTGGCCCGGGTGGCAGGCTGCGGTGCGTCTCGGTTTCAGTTTTATGCAAATATCACATGGAATATCACAAAAGTTGTAAATTTCCCTGTCATGTGTTTGCACTTGTTCTCGGTGGGGAAGAGGGGGAGGGGGGTGGGGCTTTGTCCCGCTTCGGGCCCAACACGAGAGAGCCTTAACAATAACAAAACAGAAGCTAAAACAGAAAGAAGCAAGCCAGCGAAAGGAATAGAACCGCAAGTCGAGGCCCTAGATACCCTTGGAAAATCCAGGATTTAAAGGTTTGCTCTACAAATTTCCCATAAGCGAATGGACACGGAATGCTGCTTATGGAAGAGTGGTATTGGTACACATAGTATATGGAATGGTGTGATTTTCTGAGCGAAACTCTTGGCTTAGCCAGAGATATGGAGGCATTTCCACTACTATGTCGCTCGGGACTGTACATTTATATGTATTTAATACATTTTTGAAATATTAAATATGAAACAAGACTTATACGATTGCTTTTTTCGGAATACCAGGCGAATAGAAATCAGCAGAAGGTCCGCTGGCTCTTATAACTGATGCTCAAAATGAGTAATGCCTAGATCTGATCGGATCTAAATGATCTAAATAATCTAAATAAGATACCAACCCCATAAGATACATAATATTCTGGATCAGCCTCAATATCCGAGTCGATTAAGCCCTGTCTGTCTGTTCGACGCCTAGTTCTCTGAGACCTTGAGATCTTGTACCCAGACTCCTGAGATATCACACTGAATCTAGTTTTCTTCAAAATTTCGACACGCTCTCTTCCGACAAGAATCTGTGGCATCCACAGTTTTAGAGATACGAAATAACTTAATGAGAATCATAGAGTATGACCAGATCTAGCAGATTGCCGCATCTTGATCCGATCAGACTATTATTATAGCCAGAATCAAAAAATTAAACACTTGCTTACTCGCTTTCTGTCTCTGTCTCACACACTCTTTGTCGTGCAATGTTAGCGCCGTCTGGCGGAGGAGAGCCACACACCCTGAGTATAGGGGATAAATGTAGGATTCCCCTTCGTTTTCTCTCAAATTTAATCTGCTATTAGCCCTAAAATATATACGAGTCCTTCTGCTAGCTGGAATCTGAATGAAGCTGGATAATGATGAAAACGGTGGGAAATGCCCGTGGAAATCCTCTAAGCTTTTGGATGGCTTGTTTCCATCTTCTCGTCAAAACCTGGATACCCCCTGCAAGAGCATAGCAGGGCAGAGAGGGCCTGCAAATTTCCCTGGAGTGGCGTTTAAAGCCACTGAAGGCGAAGCTGAAAACTGAAGTTGAAGCCAAAGAGGACACGGACATGGAAATGGAAATGGAATGGACAGGCGGAAGACAGGCGGAGCAGCGGCAGCTGGAAATCTAAAAATCTGAATGGCTCTAGCTTTAAGAGGCAGCCCGTCAGCTATTTATAGCCGGGGAGGGCTCTGGCTCCGCATCCGCTCAATCCACACATAAATAAAGCAAACACATGAGAACGCGACTCACGAAAGTTGTTGGCAGCCAGAAAACTGAAAGTCATATTTGATGAGAGACGGAGAAAGCGAGGGGCAGGGGGAGAAAGCAGCAGCCAACCCACGAGAATCCTCGCAAGTCAAACAAAAGAGTGGCAGGAGGGGGAGAATAGAAGGTGGACTCACCGTGCAGACTGCGGCAAAGGAGTCTGCCGCCGAGGGCAGCGTGGAGTGGTCGAGGCCCAGCAGGATGACGGTGGCATACACGAAGATGCAGCCCACTGCGGTGATGTTGCTCAGCTTCGGGCTGGAAAGTTTAATTGCCCTGTGGAGGAGGATTGGCGGTGGATACGCCAGTGGAAAGTGCAGAGTAAGCAACCGACGAGAGAGAGAGGCCCCTGCCGCGGGCCCTGGACTTACTTGAGCTTCCGAAAGTGCAGATTGAAGGCGAGAAAGGCGATGGCCAGGGCAATGCCCACGCTCGAGAGGGTGGCGATGGTGTAGAAGGCCAGCGGGGCGATGGTGGCCACTCGCAGCTTGAAGACCCGCTTGGCGATGGGCACCTGGCCGCTGTGCCACTTGACGGGTCGGCAGCGGGGGCAGCGGAAGTCCAGGGCATCGGTGGCGGGATAGTACAGTGCAATGGGCTCCAGCAGGCCCCGCTGGATCTGGTAGAAGGCCGTGGTGCCCACACGATCCGGACCGCTGAACGAGACGGGACCCTGCCGAGGAGAATCGAAAGGAGAAACCAATCAGAAGCGGCTCTCATGGCCGGACCCTTTCGCCCGCCTTACGGATACGCCCAGGAAGTGGAGCTTGCCCATCTGCTGCAGGAACTCCCAGGCCATGTCGCTGCGCGTGTAGTCGAATCCGTCCAGCTTCGACTGGGCCTCGTTGCGGCGCCAGTGCTCCTCGGAGGCGCGCAGGGCCAGGGCTATGGCCCACACGGCGTCGTACGTCTGCGGCGCGTACTGCGAGATGGCCTCCGGGAAGAGGTGGCTCCCAGTGGCACGCCTGCGCCGGCTGCTCGGATCCACATCCAAATCCGATTGCGGTGCGGCACGCTTGCGGTTGCCACCGGCTGTGGATGCCCCATCCTGGCCATGGAACTGTGCAAATTGCTTGCGCAGCTGCGAGTTAAACATGTGATTGTTCTGCCAAGTGGAATCGAATGGAAATGGAAATGGAAATGTCGGCGATTAAACAGGCCACAGAATGGCGCAGGAATATGGCTTGTAATGGGATTGCCTAGTCCTGGCCGTCGCCACGTCCTCGTTCGCCTCTGAACGAGGCACTAAAATGCTCATAAAAACGCGCGCGATGACAGGCAGGACTTGCAATCACCATCACAATCACAATCACAATCGCCAAGGACATGGCCGATGGCTGGGGATTGTCTAATCAAATAAATCATTCGAGGGCAGACAGAAGGGCAGAAAGGACCTTCTGCTTACCAGTCCGCTGTAGCTGACGTTGTTACCCACGATGCTGTTGTGGGTGGAGACCACAATGAGGTTCTCGACGGCCAGCTGGAGCTCGTGGTTGGTGCAGGCGGTGCGCTGGTCGGGCCACCACGGCGCCCCCATGCTCTCGTGCAGGATCCAGGCGTAGTCCGCCCCGAACATGCGCAGCCTGTAGGCCTCGCAGAGGATCTGTGGGGCCAGCTCCTGCGAGAAGCTGCCGATAATGATGCGCGTGTCAGTCTCCTGCGGGGGCAAGACCATTTGTCATTCGTTGCGTTCGCTGGGAACCCCCCAACTCCCCTTGGATGCTCACCCTCAGGAGTAAAAGCTGCTCCTTGAAGTCCGTGGCCGCGAATGTGATGGTGGCCGCACAGGAAATGTTGGCTGCCTCCAGCTCCGTCACCAGATTGTTCACCGCCAGCGAGTGCACCTCCTCGTTCTGCGAGAAGGTGGTCACCGTGCCCCAGCCGAAGCGCCGGATGAAGGCGATGCGCGCCGGGTTGTGCGAGGAGTCCGGGGCCACGGTGCGATAGAAGTAGGGGAACTCCCGCCTGTCGCTCAGCGCCGGCGAGGTGGAGCCGAACGAGACCTTTAATTTGGAGAAGCAATCGTTAGCAGTCCTGTGGAGGCGCGTGGCGGCGTGAGGGGCGGGGGGTGTGTCGGAGGCCGCTTAAAATGCAAGACATGCCGCAAGACATCCACATGCCACATGTCTGCAAAGTTTCGCCTCTCATTTAACATATTTCGGGGGGCAGTGAGGCGGGTGCGAGGCAAATGAAACTTCAAAGGTTAAATGCAAATGTCGGGAGGTCGAAAGGAGGCCGGGAGGATGCGTAAGTGAATTTGTGGACCTCATAATTTGTGGTGCGTGGCAGTGTTTATGGCGTATGGTTTATGGGGTGCTGCAGGACTCATCCCTGGCCCCGCCTGCCCCGGCATTTATGCTAATCGAAAGCCAAGCACGTGAGTTGATTAGGTTCGAGCGGGATATTTGCATTTTAATCAGCCCCAGTATCCCCCCCCTGGACTCACCTGCACAATATTCCAGTACGGCACCACCTTGGCCAGGCTTTCGGTGACCTCCGAGCAGGCGGATCCGAGCAGCATCACCATCCGCGTCGAGGGCTGTGTGTAGATGGCATGGAAGAAGCGATCCACGCCCACGCCAGGATCGCACTGCATTCCAGGAGAGGGGGGAAGAGAGAGGGGAACCACATTAAGGCAGATGCAGAGCTGGGAGTGTCCCCCGTTTCGGCGTCATAAAAACGCGTCAAGATGCCGCAATAAACATTTTTAAAATGTCGACTTTGATAGAGCGACAGATACGAGACACGAGAGTCCTTGTATGCGGGTTGTACATTTGCGTGCCCCATCAAACCGGAAAGAAATGGCAATAAAAGAGCCCCAAAAACGAGGACGCAGACGATGAAACGTTGATGACATATTTCCAGCTGCTGCCGCTGCTGTTGCAGATTTTCTTATTAAGTTTTAATGTTGCACGCGCCACTAAATGAAAATTCAATTTCGTAATGGGAGCCCCCGCTGTCCCCCCGCTCCACTCACCTGCGTGTCGTTGGTGACCAGCTCGAGGGTGTAGCCGGGCAGGAGGCGCTTGCGGTTGATGTGCTCCACGGCCATGGTGGCGGCCCCCAGCTCGGAGATGCCGTCCGGGCGGGGGCCCCGCTTCGTGGAGAGCTCGAAGAGGCCGAGCAGGACGATTTTACCGTGATTGCGCTGGATCTCCGCCTGGGACATGCGGCGCTCGCTCTCGAACACCTGGTTGACCTTCAGGTAGCGCTGCCGGGTGGCCGGCGGCGCGAAGGGCTGCGCCGAGGAGTTCGTGATGCTCGGCAGATTGCTCTGCGAATTGAGGCGCTGCCGCCGCTTGACTTTCGTCCGTTTGTACTTCCAATTGGAGCGATGCTGCGGCCCCAACAACGGCAGCTCCATCTCCATCTCCAGCTCCTGTTCCGTGTGTGCTCCGGCTCCAGAGGAACGTTGCTGCCACTGGAGGCTGCCACTAATTGAGGCATCGCCACCTGGCGACGGCTTAATTGCCACACTCTGATGATGATGATGGTCCCGGCCCAGGCCCAGAGCCTGCAGCTCTGCCGACGATTCCATGGCTGCGGCTGCCGCTGCCGTCCAGGCGAGGGCCAGCACCAGGCCCAATCCGAGGGCCAGCCATCGGCAGTATCTCGTTTGGGGCCAGTGAGTTATGCGCATCCCGTCGGCCATGTGCCCTCGCCCATTAATCACCAAGGCATTGGAATAGTCGTCGGCTATCTATCGGAAGGCGGCTGCAACGGCTATAAACACGGGACACACACTCCTGGCAGGACTCCTGCTGCTCGAACACGGAATATATATCGCCGTTTTATGCACTGTGTGCCGACAGGATACGCTTATCGTCTCTCTCCCGCTCCCCCTGCTCCTCCTCCGCCGCTTGGATTGGCGTCAATTTTATCGCCTTTTTATTGGCCTCACTTTTGGTCTCATTTCGTTTCGCACACACACACACACACACACACACACACACACACACACACACAGTGACTCTGAAAAGTATTGGGCCATAAAAATATGCATGAGCAGGGGAGGGGAGGAGAGGGGGGGGAGGAAGGAGGAGCCCCCTCAAGGCATTTGCACGCCAATTTGCCAGTCGAAAAGGATTAAGATGAAGTCCTCGATGCTCCTCCCCCCCAATCCCCCCTCCAATCCCCAATCCCCTCCTGCTGGCCATTACTTTTTATGCTAATGGCCAAACATTCGGCGCTTTGCTTTCACGTCGAGGCTTTTGGGCTACTTTTTCTCTGTTTTCCGAGTATCACGCGCCACAGATTTTCCTTCTGCATGCGCGTATGCATAATTGTTTCGAGATTACCCACACCCCCACCCCCCCTCTCCCCCACCATTACCGCTTTTCTTTCTTTCATTCAGCGAGCAAGCGCTTAAAATAACTTTTTGGCCCATTTTGTTCTTTGCTGGGTTTTGTTCTTCGCAGAGAGGCGCAGTGGCGTGTCCGCCGAGGGGGGGGTGGGGAGGGGGAGGGGGCGTCTCTGCCACCTGAGCCCATTGCCCTCTGCTCCCAGCAGCTCCATCACTCAATGCCCCACTCTTAGCCCCCGGCCGCACCTGCACCCCAGCCACGGCTGACATTTGCCCTCTGCCCTGCTCTTAGCCCCTGTGCCCCCTTTCCCGGGCGTCTCGTGCAACTAGCATTTCATACGAGCCTTTCTACTAGTCCTAGTATTTCCATGGCTGTGCTTGTGCACTGCGGAAAACTTAATCTCTTGATGGATCGCAAAACCCAAAAACTAAGAGCCCTACGTCCCGAATTTCCAACATTGCGATGCCTTTACCACGAGAAATAATAATGGATCATTTTTGTTTTCATTTCATTCGAGTTTGATTACTTTTTGATTCGAAAAAAGTCATTTCTGGTTAGAGATTTTTCTTTTAATCGAATATTTCAATGGAGAACAAATGTTCCGAAAAATATCTCTATAGAATAGCCTTTGCAAAGGTCCAATATAATTAAATATCTGCATAATATCTCCACTTAGGATAGGCCAACGTCTTGGTAGAACAAGAAGTCCTGGATATTCAAGTAGAAAATAGTCCAAATATCTTTCAAATGTCTTTTCAAATCCCAAAAGATAAGACTTTAAAAGACTTTGAGAAAGACAAAGAGTCATGACCACACATACTCGTATAGAAGTCCCACAGAGATGGTCTCCTTAGAGAGTTTCTGCCTTTATCATCAGCTACCACAGCCCTAGAACTCCATAGACTCCATCAGACTCCACATATTCCTGAGGAGCGCTTTCGGAGCACCCAAACACACTTCTAGCAACACATTTAGGAACTGTCGTTATTACGAAATGGTTGCTATTATATTTTCATGGCAGAAGATGCCCATCTTTGGTATTTGCTTGCTCCAAAAACTTCAAAAAATATTAAAAATCAAAAACAAACGAAAATTTACTACAAAAAAGACCAACAATTGTTGGTTTCCTTTTTAAGAATATTTATACTCGCTTTGAATATCCTTTCTTTAGCCCATTCCCTGCAATATGGACACTCGCCTCATAGAACCCATGGGAAATGGGAAATCATAAGAGTATTCCACCCCCCACCATAAAGTTGGTACCAGTTTTAGGATGGGAAAGAATTTTATTCCCAAAACAGAACACTTAATCTGCTAGATATATGTGTATCTTTTAGCACTGCCTTTCCGCTAAAAACTGCAGAAAACCCCCGAAGAACATCAAGCTTTTTTATGCATTTTTGAAAGTTGAATAAAAAATAAAGCGATTTCGTTTGAATTAAATGCCAGCCTCGAGCAATCCCAAGCTATCCAAAAAGTAGGGGTATTTTTCGGGCAGTGCATTTATGAATATTTAGCGACTGCTCGGCTCTGCTCTGCTTTTGGGTCCTTTCTATTATTCTGCCATATTTCACAATTGTTGCCGTGGTATTTAAACCTGCACTTATTTATGGCCGTGTGTGCAGTCCCCCCCACCCGTCCGTGCCCCACCCCCACCCCTATGTGGCCATCGGCCCCTTTAGTTGTTATTTTCATGCTTGACATAAATTATGCAAAATGCTGGCTGCATTTGTAATTCTGATTCCATTTTGTGTGCTGCAACTGTGACTGCAGACAGCTACAGGGGGGTGGAGAGGGGGCACACTGTGTGGCAAGATAATAACTAAGGGAAACATTCAGTTGCCAGCATTTAATCCCGTCTAAAACCCCTGCTAATCCCCATTAGAGGGGGCGGGGACTCTTCTCGCTCTCCAATCAATGATCATCAGAACAGCCCAGATATGTGGCGTGTGGCACAGCTCACTTAACTGGTGGCAGCATGCAGCATGCAACAAATACTCCTTCTCATAATCTCGGTTACTCTGCTCAGATGAGCATCCCATGGATCCCAGGCGCTCTTTAGTAGGAAATTGCATTCATAAATATTGCGTATACGCCACATGCCACACACACACAGGCGCACACACACACTCCAGCACCGACACTCTTAAATGACAATTTATTGGCATTTGAAATGCGTCTCCATACATATTTGAGGCCGGAGATAATTCTATTTGTTTTATTTACTTCGAACCAGAGACGAAACGAAGACGAAGACGTGGCCGAGGACGAGGACGAAGTTCGAGGCTCGAAGGAAGACTCGTTTGCCGCTGGCTTTCTCCCGGATTTACACGCACGCGACGAGCTTCAGACCGCAACTGTTGTCCGCCGTGGCAGGCGCTACGCTTTTGACTGATAAATCCCTGATTGAAGGATGCTGCAAAAGGGATGCCTCGTTCAACGTTCAACCGGCTTCAGTCGGGGACGCTCTCTCTCTCTCTCGGGCTTTGCCACTGCGTCGGCGCTGGCAAAAGCGCGCCAAAAAATTCATTCATGAAAAGTCTCCGCCGAGAGGGGTTTGGGGGGTTGGGGGGAGGAGCCAGCAACAAGCTGGGGAAAATTGAAAAATTGGTTGGAAAAGTTGAAGTTTAAATTATGCAAATTAATGCCCAACATGAAACTAAATAATTTGCAACTGTTTTAATGAAAAATTCATTTATCCTGGCGAGCAGGAGAGCTGGCAAAGGAAGGACGAGCAGACACTGGAGGGGGAGGGGGGGATTCGCCTTTCCTGCGACTGAATCCTGGCCAGCACAAGGCAAGGACACTCTTAATTATGGCTGCATTGGGCCCGGGAATGCCCTGCATGGGGGGCGGGGGCGGGGTAGGGGATGGGGCTTTTCCCAGCTGCCCTTTTTCTCAGCTTCGATTACGGAAGATAATTTGATTTCGCCTCCTTTTGGCCATCGCAAAAATTGCAATTAATTTCTGGCCAGCCTTTCTTCGGAAAACCTTTTGCAGAAATGTTTCCAGAGCCAAAGATTGCAGAGCACCAAAGCGATGCCTCAGATATACACGAGCTCATGGATTCCCGGCCAGAATTTGAGATTGGATTGCGACTTTTGTTTGGGTGCTGGAGGTGCTGGAGGCTCCCAGAGGTGGCAAATAAAATGCAATTACACCGCAAAACTCAATTCCAAGTGTCAAAAAGTTGCACTGCACTTAAGAAGTTAGAGAGGGGGGGGGAACACCTCCATTTACCCGTCACTCGAGGTGTTTGAGCAGCAATGAAAGGCCAAAGTTGAGGCAGAAGTAAAGCGGATTACGTGCAATTGTCGACTGTCGACTCCTGGCTCCTCCTCCGCCTCCTCCTCTGCCTCCTCCTCCAGCCTCCTGCCTCCTGCAGACCCGAATAAATTCCAGATTTGACAGGCGCCCGATCTGGGGGATAATTTATAGTCCAAATGGATGATATATTGGGCCTCGCGTTCATGTTTTGCTTATGTTTTGCCCGTGAAACTAATTTTCCAGCCCCCCCACGGCCCACGGCCCACGGCCTGGCCTCCATTTGCATTTTAAATGAGACGGTGAAGGGGGAGGGGCGGTTGGCGGGGGGCCTGCCAACTTTTTACAATGCCACTTCGGAACTTCTCGCCGCTGTGGCTGTCCCTCTACGAGTCCTTCGGCTACAGCGTGTGGCCGGGCACTCACCGGCAACTATTTTTGTTTGTGTCTCGTGTTTCGCTCTTTGTTTGCGGACACTTGGCAAATTGGCAGCTCGCAGATGCCACACGGCAGAGGGGGGAAGCGGGGGGCACCGGGGGGAAGTGGGAGAAGTGGGGAATGGGCTCTCTCCCCAGGTTCTCGTGGCGCACACGGCGTATGCGTAATTTAGTGCTGCAAATTTGCACTTTTGTGACTTGTTTAGAGATACAGATACGGCTGTGCCCTGCTCTGCCGAGGCGGCGGCAGAGGCAGCACTTAAAATCAGAAATTCAATTATCTCCCACCCACCCACAGACACCACAGACGCACCACGCCCCCAAGGGGAAGGGGGATAGGGATGTGGAGGCCCCTCCATGTCTCCATTTCCATTTCGCACGCACTTTTCACACCTGCGTGCCTCCTGCGTGTGCCCCCTGCCGCCCCCTCTGCTGCCTATTCAGATGTTGACAAAGGTGGGAGGGTTGGGAGGGGCGTTTGGGGCTTGTGGGGCGTGTGGAGTGGATGGGAGTACAACTTTATTGTTCCTCCGAGTTTTTAGTTGCCGGGAAAGTATTATGCCCCCCCCTTCCCCCTCCTGCCACACTTCATGCCACGCTTCGGCCAGGGGGATTGAGATGGAACGCCAGAGATATAATCGCATAATGGAGGCCCCTCTTCGAGTGGATCCATCGCAAATCTCTTCGGCTCTGCTGTCAGAACAATTTAATTATAATTTTCTTCGTTTTTTTCGGTGGAAAATTCATTATCGTCGGCGGGAAATTAGCTTGAAAACAATTAACACCTGTTCGCCGGCAGCTGCTTCTGGCAGGAGGCTCCGCACTTCAAAAACTAACAACAAGCAGGCCTTTAATGGTGGGGGGGGGGCACGCTTTCTCCCTCTCCCTCTCTCTTATTCTAATGAAAAAAGTTGCACAAAAAAGTTTTCAAATTACAACGGAAATCCGTGAAAATCCTTTTAACAAA